TTTTTTTTTTTTTTTTTTCTTTTTTTCCTGTTTCTCTAAAGCAGTCTTACGTGTAACGGCAACTTTCGCGAATTTAATCCTCTCATTCTCGGTATTTGATCTTTTTTCCTTCTTTCGTTCTTTCTTTCCTCGTTCGCCTCGTTTTTCTTTTTCTTTTTCTTTTTCTTTTTTTTTTTGTTAAACAGAGAGAGAGAAAATATTCACGGTACGAATTACATCGTCTTTTGAGGATTGATTAATTTTAAAAAATTTAGAAGCAAAAGCAAGAACCCCGTATTCACAGTGTTTAGTTGCACAGTAGTCCCTCTGACACACTAGTGTCGAAGGTTCGAGTTATTATTAAATTGAAAATGAGAAAATTAATTAAAGAGATAATTAGTAATAAAATAACGTAGCAGTGAGAAGAAAAAACGGTGTCGATCTAATAATAGATGAAATAAAAACGAATTTATTGTCATCTTTAGGTCAACCTGATTCTATCGATTTGGCGGGAACTTTAAAATTTTCTACGTACGTTTCTTTCTTGTAGCTAATCACATGTGCATAGGGGGTTTTTTTTTATCGTATATCTCTCTATATCTATCTACTATTACAGAACAGCGATAGATTCAAAATATTCGATCGAGAATCAGAAGATAAAAGAATCATTCGATCGTTTGTTCTCGTTCTATTATTGCTGAACGAAGAAAGAAGTTGTCGCCCTCGCTGCCAAAAAAGACGCGCATTTGATTGACGGAGAATCGAAGCGTTCGTACGAATTTTCAGTAGTAACAATAACATTTCCCCATAACTCCTTCCTCCATATTTTCTTCTTTTTCTTCATCTTCTTCATCTTCTTCTTCTTCTTTTTTTTTGTCGTTTTTCTTTTATATGATCGTTGCAAAATAATTCTACCTTATAGCTTACGGTATCACAGAGTTACACGCGGTATCGTATAATTGCTCCCACTTCGTAATTTTGCAAAACGATAAGGAAAGCGCGTAATCGTCTCGTTAAAAATTGAAAATTGCGGCTAGAATGGACGCAGACGATGTCACCATACATTATACGCTTGAATTAAAAATACGAAAAAAAAGAAAAAAAAAAAAAAAAAAAAAGAAAAAAAGGAAAAAAAAATACTTTTATCTTACGTTTAATTTAATACTGTCGAATTAAGACGAGTCCGATATTTTGCTTCGCAAAATTTCCCTCCCCCCGAAGAACAATATCACGAATCATACGAAATCATAAATTCTCTTTGGTCTTAAACTTTCTTTTTTCAATTTTTTTTTTTTACTTTTCGCTACTATTGAAAATATTTAAACTGAAAGAAAGGAAAAGAATCGATCGATTCTTCTTCTACTTGCACGATTGCACATAAGATGTCTCCCTCTATGATTTCGATGTCCTCAACAGAGACGTTCGTACTGCGTCCAATTTGCGTCACTTTTTTTTTTTTGTTTTCGTTTTTTCTTTTTTTTCTTTTTCTTTTTTTCGTTTTTTCTTTTTCGTTTTCACTTTCCCCATTTCTCAAAAAATGATCGCTCGATTATTAATAATAACGTATATATAACGAATAACAAACTTGACCGCATATCTCGACGGAAGTAATATAATATACTATAAAAGAATTTAACAAACGCTTCGTAACGATTAATTGAAAAACAGCAAAATCCGGTACCTCAAACGCGGGACACGGGGAAAACGCTATGATACATTTCGATAAAAGCTGCGAGGATCGTTTGGAAAAAAAAAAAAAAAAAAAAAAAAAAAAAAAAAAAAAAGATTGCATATCTTTTATATAATATAGCGGAAAGAAGGGCATCGTGGGCATCTTCGAATACGTTCACCTCGAAACGATACCGTAGCCGATGCCTAATATTTGAACAAAATTTTCGAACAAAATTTTCGAGATGAATTTTCGAACGCGTTTTTCGATTAAAAAGAAAAAAAAAAAAAAAAAAAGAAGTATCAAAAAGAACGATATATACAATCTAAAGAAAAATAAAACGAAAAGAGAGGACTAGTAATTCTTTTCTTCCTCTTCTTTTTAACAAATAACAAGCGTACAACAATTTACGCGAAGATAAAAAATTGATATAAGGGTTGGTAAAAAAATGCTCGCGTATCGTTTCGAAGACGTATTTGCATATCGTATTTATCCAATTGTACGCGAGACGGAATTTACAACGAAAGCTTGAAATAAATATTTATACGCGTGTAAGTACAGATAATCTCGCTCGAACGATACGCGATTTAAAATAAGTAAGTCTTTTCTTAGGCTCCTTTTCTTTTCCTCTAGCTCGTCTAATTATAATTGTATGTGTATAATATAACGCGCATCTCGTATATATATACATATATATATCTCGTATATGTATATATATATATATAATATCCCTTCGCAGCTTTCGCGTACACGCACGCATATTCCCCATTGGAGGCAGCAAGTAATCTTTAACGATGAAAACAAGCGTTTCCGGTTGTCGTATGCGAGACCCTTTAACCGGGGAACTCCTTTGACTTCGACGCGTGTGTTACGCACCCCATTTTTCTGCTTGTCCTAATGTTTCAAAAACATATTTTTACAATCGAGTTTATACGATATAAACGTATTAATTAATTAAAAGAGAGAGAGAGAGAGAAAAAAAACGGGTAAAGTAAATAAAGTAAATAAACGAAACTACTCTATATAATAAATATTCGTAACGAAATAGAATTCTCTACGTTTAACTACGTGACTTACGTAAATGAAGATAAAAAAAAAAAATTACATATAAAAGAAAGAGAGAAAAAAAAACAGAAATATAAAAAACGATCAATTTTTCTTATGTTCCTTGAAAAAAGAGCAAATTTTTGAAACAGCAGAAAGTGAATGGTCAAGTCGTTCCCGAGGTTTAATGCGCGCGATTTAATATTTACGTGTGTGAAGGAACTAACTTTTTTTTTTTTTTTTTTTTTTTCTTTTCCTTTTTATCTTAGGTCTAAGATCCATTTATCGATCCCGACTGGCCACGAACCTTCCGTTAATTAATATACGCGCGCGAAAACGAACGCGAAACGATAGCGAGAATGAAACGCAGTTGAACGTAACGCGCCAGCGATGTTAACGTCGATAACGAGGAATTCCATTCGTGATTATGTACCTCTTTCGTTGGATCTTTCTCTCTCGTCGCTCGTTTTTTTTCCACTGCTCGTTGTCCTTTCCTCGTCCTTTCCTTTAATAAAGGAGCTTCCGCGTTAACTGGACGGAGGCTCGTTTCTAATTCGTTTATTAATCCCTTCGCTCTCTTCCGCATATCTTTCTCTCCTCCTCCTCCTCCTCCTCCTCCTCCTCCTTCTTTCTCCTTCTCCTCTATCTCTTTCTCTCTCTTTCTCTATATCTTCGTCATCCTAAACAATTATCCACAATAAGAATTCCGTTCATTTCGTTCGGAACAATAATCAATTTCATATCGAAAATAAGAAAGTTAAATCTCGCGGCTCGTTCGTGGCTCGTTCATCCAGAGACTTCTTCCGATCTTCTTGCGAGTAAGCAAGGGCAAAACAACAAAAAAAAAAAAAAAAAAAAAAAAAAAAAAAAAAAAAAAAGAAAAAAAAAAGAAGAAAATGTAAAGAGAAAAAACAAAGAAAACGGTAAAAATCTCGTTTACAGTTTCTCACTGTAAATTGCACTGTACAAAAGAAACGCAGAAGAGAGCGGTAGAAACGTACAGGTACCGGAGGATTCGTCTGGTAGGAACATCATCCACGAAAATCTTTCACCCTCGGCCGCTCTTTGTCCGCTCGATCTCCTTTTCCCAAGAATTCTTCTTCTCCCGCGATCGAAGTTCTCCTCTTCTCGCGGAAGATCGCGCCACTTTCTCTTCGCGCTCCTCCTCTCTTCGGAATCGAGTCACGTCGAGGTTTCTCGAGCATGCTTTCACGCGCAAAAATCGATCGATCGTCATCGTCCTCGTCGTCGTCGTCGTCGTCGTAGTCGTCGTTGTTATTGTTGTTGTTATTGATATTGGTGTTGTTGTTGTTGTTGTTGTTGTTGTTGTTGTTGTTGTTGTTGTTGTTGTTGTTGTTGTTGTTGTTGTTGTTACCCGTAAATGATTCGTAAGGGGGATTATTTTGATCCGATCCTGTCGTTGTTGCCAGCTACGCGTATTGTCGGTTCCTCTGTGTGCTCTACCATGCCGAAGACGATTGATCCGGGCAGGATCGTACAACCCCCTCGTAGATAGTCGCGGACGCGGTAACGGGTGCAGAGGTGCGCCTTATTTCGATCGGTTTCGAGCCGGGAATCGGTGGCCGGCCCAAAACCCCTTGGTTGTTTCACGACAAATTTCTCTGATCCTCCGTTGTGTCCTCAGCCTTCTTCAACGACCTTTTCAGCTTGTCCACCAAACGGTTGTGAAACTTGTTCAGGGAGTTGGAGCTCCCGGTTTTCGGTGGGGACGAGCCGGTACTCTTGCTCGGGCTTTGCAACGAGTTCTGGGACGCCCTCGAGGACGTCCTCGAGAAATGGCGGGACGTGAGAGGGACCGAACGATGAGCGGGCGATGTCAAGAAGTCCGATCCCGGTGAGGTAGACAACGACGGACCCTCTGATTTTGAACATTCTGACACCTGCCAACAGAAAATATATCGTTCCTCCGTTTAACATTCGAGTTACTTTATATTACAATCGTTGACCCTCGCGATACCAACCTCTCTTCATCTCCCTTCTCTCTCTCTCTCTCTCTCTCTCTTTTTTTATGTAGATTGAATAAAAATGAACAGCGATTTATAAAAATTTATCAACTCGTGAATTCTATGATATATATATTACGTATATATATTTTCTCCTCGTTTCTTTCCGAACAGTCATTATTTACAAAGGGAATTACATATATTTTATTTACACTATCTACAATTTGTAGGTATATTTGTAGGTATATTTTTGGTATTGCGAGGATGGAACGATCAATAATCGTGATGATTAACTAAGACGCTCAAATAGCGATAGAATAGTTTCTTTTTTTTTTTTTTTTTGAAATGTGCGCGAAACTAACTACTTTCACTTCGTATTCTACTATTGGTTCGAAAAATTCACCTTATTGATGTTCGACAGGTGGTTTGCACTGCTGTATGTTTACGAATTTTCTTTACGCTTTGTAATGAAAGGAAAGCAGCGGTGAAATCTAAGTACCTATTAGGTCATCCTATAGGTAATGTTTTAAGTGGAGAATTTCAATTGCAAAATATCATTTGTTTTGATAAACTGACGGACGAATCGGTATCAGCGATATACCGTGAACGATTTTAAAATCACTTTCAACGAATTATCTTCACGCGAAACGTTAGATCAGTTTTTTTTTTTTAAATTAAAAACGACGAAGGGATAAACAAAGTTGTTGTTACAGTTTTTCCATTGAAAATAGATTTTTAAAATAAAATTACGTATAAGGAATGACCCAATAGTTAATCTAAAAAAAAGCTAGATTTTTGTCTTACAGACATCTCACACCAAAATTTGAGAAACGAAGCTGGATGAAGTGATAAATATATACAACGAGTGAAACGTTATGATTTGGTCGAATACAATTACTTGGGCAGGTTTCCGAATACGGTAAACATTAGATAAGTTCCCGAAACGATTGTATACACACAACGCAATAACCCGATATCCAGTGAAGGAAATGGAGGGAACTTTTCTCGTAACGTGTTTACTTTGACTTTCAGCTTTTTTTCTCTTTCACCCGCTGTCCTTTTCTACGCTTTCTACGTTCATTCAACCTACTAAAGGAAACTCGGAACTTCGATCGGGCCGATATCGGGATTAAATTTCAATTCTCATTACTCCACCATTACTTCTCCTTTTTCCACGTTCAACGACAAGACGCGAAGGAAACTGAGAACTTTGGTCAGGTTATTATATCAGGGATTACATTTTGATTCCGCTACACCATAAATTGAGTTTCAAGTTTCGGCTACTTATCCAATGTTTATTGTATCAAGAAGTGTACGCGTCAACACGTGCCGTGTTCGTCCATGCCGGCTGGTAATGCAGTGAACTATCAACGATCGGGGATCCGTACGCGACGTAATACATATTTTCGTGGGGCGGATTTAGCGGCGCGGTTGCAGCAAGGCCGAGTACTCCCGATGCGGTGCTGTGTTACGATCGAACAGTGGTTCTCAACGTAGCGCGTCGCCAATAAGAATTGCACGTGCGCACGTGAGCCACAACACGGCGAATTTCTCGTCGCAGATTCTCGTACTTTGGTTACGCGCGATTACGTAATATCTCGTCACAGGTAACCCGACGATTCCTAGCTCCTCGTGACTCTTGCGTATCTTTTATGTAAACAACGTTCGAATAAAAAAGAATAAAAAGAAAAAACAAATTGTGTATTCGACAAGATTTACGACACGGTATTCGAATAAGTTTTTTTTTTTTGTTTTTTAAATTTTGCCAAGTTTCTCGATCGAAATACGGAATAATATTCGATAAATTTCACCGCGAGAGTTAGAGATTGTCCGTAGAAAGTGTTAGAACACGAGCAGACATTGGGGACTGCAATATAATTATCGATTAACGCGGTTCGTAGTTCTATGTGATTTACGACGTGTCTCACGTTCCTCGAACTTTGCCCGACATCGATGCTACACAGAACGACACGTATATCGACGAAACGCATATGCGTGTTCCAACGAGAAAATCGTTAAATCGGTAGTGCAATATGCATTATCTTTATAATTCCTTCGAGACTGATGGAATAATCTTGAACGAGACTTTTGTTTCAAATTGTTTACACAATTATATTATAATTTTTTCTCAAATATTTGTATTTAGCGTTTATTTGTAAAAGATCTCGTCTCGAGTGGATTAAAAAGATGTAACGATAAAAATATGATCGATGATGAAACCATCAGAGAAGAAATTCATCCGGTATTTGGTATCTGTTAACAATGCTATGGGTAACATATCGTTTTATGAAGCGATATGACCGGAAAGATTATCACGCGCGATGCATTACGGAATTGAGTATAGTTATTGCGCAACTGTGCGTCACGTTGAAGAACGGAAAGGAGGGAAAAAAATAAAAGAAAAAAGAATCACGTTGTCAGATTTTCACCGAGAGAAGCGTGTAAGCAACGTGTTTTCCGCTATGTTTTCTTCGTCAGCGATATACTACATACATATATCAGGCTGTCGGCACTACTTACGACTACTTACGACTACTTACGACTACTTCGCGTACGTGCCACGATAAACGCCGGACTCTTTCGTATTCGTCGTCATGCCACTTTCCTTGCGTGTAATCGACGATCCGGCTGACCGTGAAATTATTTGGGACCGACGCTCTCGATCCTGCGTATGTAAGAATATGAATATGCCATGCACGAGAGAGATTCGAAATTAATACATTTTTACGATTTGTCAAACGAGTTTCGGGCACGTGTTAACGTTTAACGATGACATTTGAACACGCGAAAATTTAACACGCGTTGATTTTAACGCAATATCATTATTCAAGTATATTCTCTCTTATCTTTGTGTCAAACTATCGAAAAGAAAATCAAAATATAGGCCATGTTTATTTATCTGTCGCTTGTATGAAATTTCGCGCGAAAAAAACGAGCAACGGATGCAACACAACAAACGCAATTGGAGCGCGCGCTTTCTGTTCTCGTTTTAGACACTGCTCGTTTTATAACGCGCAAAACACACTCACCTTTCTACTGCGACAGGCCTGAGGATTGGAACACTCGGAAGATCGCCGACTGCGGTTGGTCTTGTAAATGTCCCACTCGTTTTTCATAACGGGCATCATAAACGCCATCTCGATAGCCGGCACTCGATGAGCGAGCACACTCGTTCCCTCTATCCCGCGGCAAGTTTCCTTCCTTTTCTCTCACCTAGCTCTACACCTAGCCTCTGTCTTTCTCGCTCCGTCTTTCTAGAAAGTTCAAATCGCACAGCTCCTGGGATTCGGCAATCGTCGACAATTTTTCCAAAAGAATCCGTCGAAACACTCGGCGGTCTCGCTTCACCAAATGCAACAAGAGGATTTCTTCTCTCTAGCGGGAATTTACGGAATTAAAACGACCGAGCAAATATTTTTTTCGTTCTTTCGCGAACCGTATCCTTCGATTTTATCCTCGATTACGTGTATCCCCTTCAAATCGAACGGAACCGAAATTGACTGCGTACAATTTCGATCGGTTTTTCTACCGATTTGAATAGATGCCGCCGACGACAACAACGACGTGTCACTGCTACTATGGAAATTGTCAGTCGTCGCTTGTTGCCGATCGTGTTCCAATCGCTGCTGATTGCTGTGTCGACTGGAAAACTGCATACACGTCGTGTGCTTTCACGGATAGGATTAGCTTCGTCGCTTTTTTTTAACGGTAGCTCGGCGTGCTGCCTTTTCAACAACGTTCTCGATCACGCGCGTCCGGTCGATGCAGCAGTCTGCTACGGAATGAGCACGCCGATGCTCGTGTGGGTAGGTGTAAAAGATTGGCAAGGTGGGGACGAGAAAGCAAGCCTATTGGTCGATTCTGAGGCGGGACTCCTACGTCACGGGTTACCATTGATTTTCCAATGTTGATACACACGACAGTATGACGTTCTGGATTGATTTTCTGGCGGCGGTTCCTGCTGGATCGCACGTATACGTTGCTTCTCTCCATATAGTATAACACGTCAACGCGCAGGAATCTCTCCATCCCTACGGAAAAGGATCCGCAATCGACCTAACGAGCATCGACTTGCTTCCTGGCCCGTCCTCGACCCTCCTTCCCGCAAAAATCTGCTTTCTTCCGCCCTCTCAAGGTCGCCACGGCAAATTGAATCGCGCCGAAACGCGAATATATATCGAATAGTTGCACGTGCAAACCACGTTGAAACAGTCAGCTTCTCTCTCATGATATAATTAGAAATTAGCAGTTACTATTCTCGGCCTATTGTTCTGTTCGAAACTTTCGATTCGATTCGATTATATTGCGCGTTGACGCTTGGTAAACCTTGAAACGTATATAATTTCGCCCCAGTGTCGATGAAGTGATTAACCGATGTATAAGAAATCGCTAATAATTGTTTAATACTCAATAAATCGCACTGTGATGCAATATTTGAATTTGATTGCGCAGTTAAATATCATTTCTATCGTATTTACGACCAATTTTAATCAATCGATTATCGTGTTACGATAAGCGATAAGTATATTTCACGTTCGAAATGAAAAAATGAATTTTAAAGCGATAAATTACTTTTAAATTGATAGATACAGTTTTTGCTGATATTTTATCGATAACTGGTATTGTTGTACATTTTTATGCTATAGGAATATAAGGATTATGTATATCTGCAGTCGGTATATTACCATCAACTGATTTCTTTGATAGAGCAAGCGTAATAGAGTTTTTAATGAAAAGAACGAAGAAAAAGTATGAAAAAGCTAACGATCAATGAGCACAAGATTTTTAAATATATTATAAAAATGAATTTATAGAATAAATATAGATAAAGAAAGCAAATAGTAAAAAATATCGAGTAAAAAATTGAAAAATCAGCGCCATCTTTGAATGCTTTTAAATAAATAATTCTTTAAAAAAATGTTTTTATCATTCGAGATAATAAGCAATTTTTACTCTTTCAATATATCTTCAATATATCTTATTAGAAATATCTTAGTTAGCCGAGAGATGGCACTACCAGTCAATTCCTATTTTATCTCTATCCTTCTTCTATTATTTTCTATCTTTGTCATATATGTTTCATTTGCGGCACTCTGGAGATGGCGCTGATTTTAATCTTTTATCCTATCTTTGTTTCTTTTCCACTATTTGCTTTCTTTGTCTATATTTCACACGTAATCATACAAATAATGAGATATATAATGTGTTAACAGTAAAAATTGTTGTTAAAGTTTCTCGATTGATTTTAAATTTATATTTAACTAATAATAAGAAGATAAATCTATGATATCGAATCTAACTAAATAAATCTAATCTTTTAACAATGTCAATAATTCGTAAATTGATTAATAATTAAAATTTCATTAGTTCCAGAGAGAACTATCAATAATTGAAAGCAATAAATAAAGAAATAAGAATAAAAAGAAGAAATTTTTCATAAAAAGTAAATTTATTTTGTTCATAAAGGTGTTCATATAGGTCTTTTGTTTAAATAAACGCAATTCGTCATCGTTTCACGCGATACGCTATTGTTGAGTGATCGAAAAAAACATTAAGCTCGCAACATATCCGAAAATTATGCTGCTGCTTACGTTACATCTATAAAATACGAAAATTACTTTTTTATCCTAACATTTCACGTACATTCCCCTTCCTTTTTTTTTTTTCTTATCTTTATAAGTAGTTTCGCGTTCATGCTTCGGACAATAAAGGAACTGTAAAACCTGACTTAATCTTACTACTAAGTCTTAAAACTTTTAACATAATCGTTGATATAATAATAACTATGATAAAGACGCTGTTTCCCATTCCGTTTCTTCTCATTTCGATTTGAAATTTGTCTAGTAAGTAACGCTTTATATGTACAATATGAATAGGTACGTACAACACAGAGAATTTGCATTATCTTGTACTTGCAATGTACTTAAACATTACCATGAACCAGATTTTCAGGAAGCTCTGAGACAAGTTGCATTATTTTCTTACAAAGTAGGTACCCAAAAAAGTAAGCGAATATTACAATAAAATAGTTTCTCTTCGTACGCGTATCATAAAAGAAGCGTTTGCCAAAAATGGATGCGTTTTACACGGCACGGTGTTGTTTTCAATGAAACGTTTCATTCCACTTTTCAAGATTTAATCGAACAAACTCTCGTAAGGTTTTTCTTTCTAGCCAATCAACCTTTAGAAGATAACACGATATTTACTTATATATATTGCACTATCGTTTTCCGTAGGAAAGTCTTATACTATTATACAATATATTATATATATATATATACTATATTCCATTGCAATATAGTTATATATATGCTATAAAGTCTATACATATTTCGTTCTCTTGAATTAAAATACAGCTTCAGAGATTATTTTATCTTTTAACCACAGGTATATAGAGATACCATTTACTGTGTACGTGGATCTCTCGTAAAACGTAAAAACTAGAACATATCTTTGGCACGGTTAAGAGGTATCTGCAATTGTTCTCCAAAACATCATTTTCATTTGCACAGTTTCAACGTGTTAAGCTGCGAAGCCGTTAATTCCTTAGCGGCTCTTTATCTCTAATACGCAATAAGCACCGGATTACAAAAACTTGATAGCATTAGAAGTGTGCGTGATGGTTGACTCGGCAATCATCGAACGAGGGAAAAAAATTCGGGTGAATAGGACATTATTTCTCAAAATTTCAAAACATTTCAGACTCGAATCTAAAACTGTGAATCTAAAACTTCTTCAATTTTTTCAAGATGTCGAATATAATGGCGAGATTCGAACCGATTCTACCCGAATTTTCTCGATCTTTCCAAATTTATAATTTCAAGATCCCACACACTTCTAATTATTTAAGACGGATTCGTTTCGAGCCAGGAGTTGGCTCGTTTTGTATACTTCGTTCTAGTTGCTCTCTGCACAAGAGAAATCTACCCCGTCTACATTTAGTTGCGACTTACATGCTAGTAGATACTTAATTAATTAATACCTCTCTTTTGGCACAGATTCGACGATCACACCAATCACAAACATTGAAAGTATATTCTAATTTTAAATAGTTAAATTTCTTAGACGCCGTTTTGGGAATATCCAACTCGGTAATTTCGTACAAGTTTCAAGTCGGACGATTCATTGTTATCTTTTTTTTTTTTTTTTTTTTTTTATTTTATTTTATTTTTTTTAAGTACTTTAGCTATTTATGTACAACGATGCGCATAAAAATAATATATATTCTCGTAGTGAACACTCTTTAAAAATGGCATTATATCTTCCTTACTTTAGATAAGAAATCAATTTGATATTTTAATTCAATACCGATGGATATTCGCTCTCTCTTACAACACCGTTTTCTCCCTCCATTCGATTAAATGCCCTATATACTTTGTAACTTTACTGTACTTTCTTCTCTTTTCTTCTATACTTGGGAATTTTAAACGTAAGTTTTTAAAGCAAGTACAAGTAACATTCAAAAAAAAAAAAAAAAAAAAAAAAATAGGACATTATATATTATTTTCACAATGAACGTATCACACAGATAACAGAGAGAAGAAGTTACCATTTGTCTCGAATGACTATAATATTGTTGTCTAATTAAATAACGTTTAAAGCGTGTAACAATTCAAATAAAAATATATTTTTCTTTGTCAACTGATAAATAAACGAACGAACAAAAACGAATAAATTAACGAACGAATAAATAAATAAACAAGTGATGGAAGAATAAATAAATAGAGAAAAATAAATAATCGAATAAATTGAACAAATTGAACAAATTGGCAAAAATATAAAAAAATATATGTATATATATATATATAGATAATTGATGAAGGAAGAGAAAGTATCTCAATTTCGCAGTTCAAATGTGCAATTCGAGTAAAGATGGATTCTCTGATGGTCCCTCAGATGATGTCGATGCTTGAATCGTTTCTTGCACCAGGCGCATTGAAATCTTGGCCCGACACCGCATTCCAACCGTAAATGTCTCGTTAAGTTGCACTTGTGGGAATAAGTACGACCGCATTTCGGACACAAAAATGGTGGCCCGTCCTCCAAATCCTTCAGCATCTTCCAAACTGCAACATTTTTTTTAAGCATACGATGAAACGTTTGATTTGAGAAAGAATTTTATATCGAAAACGGATAATAATTCGGCGAAAGATAATGAGATAAAGCGATTTCACGATAAATATATCGGAATATTAATATTAACTTAGCGAAGAAGGTATACAAATATAAATTCGAGGAATTCTTACATTGAGCCATGCTATTGCGAAAGAAACGCTAATTTCTTCTCCTCTCGATGATCGTGCTAATTTGCTTCGAAAAATTTTTCTCTCATCGTTTTTTTTACAAGACAGATTTCTGGCATGCAAATTATTCAACATCTCTCGATCGGTAAAGTAAAAGAATTAGATCGTGGAACACAATGTTTCAAAACGGTTTTATAAGAAATATGGATATTTGATACGATGAAATTTGTTTATACAAGCATGCTATCTATTTTGATGATGATGTATAAAATCAATGATACAGAAAATTAATTTCTCCATAAGAAATCGTATTATATCGTAATCTTATTTTTTTTTTTTTTTTTTTTTTTTTTTTTTGATATAAAATAATTTTATTTTCACTATTGCGTACAATCGTAATAATTTCATTTTTACTATATAATGTTATAATGTATCTTTCTACTTCTACATATAGGCTTCTTCTATCTCTTGCATTTATCATATACATGTATATATCCATGTATATATATATTCATTGTATATCTCACATACAAATATACAACCTCTTACCTTCGTTTCATCTTTTATTACCTTTCTTTTACTCCTTTACTTTATTGTCCTATATATATATACCTATATACTTTCATCTTAAAATTTACAACATATGTATATAACAACTTTATCAATATATTCCAAAAAAAGAAGGCAGTGAATCAGTCTATACATGGTAACATATCAACAACTTGATATCAGAGATCACCGTTTAATTAGAACTATATACGCACATTAATTATATATTAAGATTCATTCTGAATGATTTCTCTCTCTCTCTCTCTCTCTCTCTCTCTCTCTCTCTCTCTCTTTTTC